AGCAGTCCATCCTGCCAGTTCACAGTTCTACTCGATCACAGAGGAAGAGGAGCAGTCCATCCTGACAGTCTACCCACATACTCGATCGCAGGGTTGAAGAAGCAGTCCAGATCAGTCCATCAACCAACCTACTCGATCACAGGAGAGAAGAAGTAGTCCAGATCCTGCCACCAACCATTCTACTCGATCACCACCTCGACCCTCTGATCAATCCGCACTCAACCAGACAACCTGAGCAAAGGAAAGAGAAAAGGAGAGAAGGAACCACTTGATCGCGGGTTTCGATTCACGCTCGACCATGAAGCCCACTTTGAGCCCATATACTCGACCACAACGTTCCATGGGCCTGTTAAGCGGACTCGAAGCCCATTTACTTATCCTTGTCGTTTTTGCTATAAATAAGTCTCTAAGGGTTTCCCCTGAGACATCGACTTTTCATTCTCTTTTCAATTACGTTCTAGACTCGCAACCTAGTTTCGTTCAGTAGCCGCTTTTGCTTCTGAAACTCTGTATTTTCGTTTCTTCTAAGTTATTGAGATTTCGCTTTCGTTTCCTTGTTCATTTCTGTTTTTATTTCCTTTAATCTTTGAAGTTATACAATCATCTATCGTTTCTGTGTCTTTGAGCATGATGTCTGAGTAGTGACTAGATTTCTGAGGATGGGATAGAGTAGATGTGAGACCCTTAGTCGATTCTGATGGTTAAGTGTAGTTTTATTGAATCCCTTCTGGATTAGTTGTGTTTACTACTTATTCCTTTCTGATCAACTGGAATTCGATCAGAAGCATTCCCGCACCCAAAAGGTGTTCGATGGAATGCTTGATCTACTAATTCCAGTGATAATCGTCTCTATCCCAAGGGATTGGCCGTTTAGAGCGGTTATTAACTTTAACAGACGGTTCTTATTGCCTGCATAGTTAGATTCCGTTAATGGGAATTAGTCTGGGCTAGCTTTGCTTGAGGATTTGTTGCACGGGAGTGAATAAATCTGTTGTTGAACCTGTTGTCTAGGGATAGCTTCATTGAGAATTGTTAACCATCGAAATTGATTATGGAGTCCACACTATTCGATTACCCCATCCTTAGGAGTTTCTTATCCAATTGATTTATCTGTTTACTTATCTGCTGCATTCACCTTCTCTGTTAACAGCTATTGAATTTGATAATTGTCTGTTTTTGGACCAGTTTACTCGATCACAGCCTCCCTTCTGGCAGTGAGCCTTGTGATCGAGTATATTAGTCATTTCTGTGACTTTTTACTATTTCTGCATCAATCACTAGAACTGTTAGAGAAACAACCAATCTCTGCTTGGCTTGACTTAGTGCGTTTTGATCATATCTCATTTGTTTGCATCACACCTAAAGTGGATTGACACCTATAGTACTACAACGACATGATAGTGCTTTAGGATTAATTGATCTTAAAAACCTATTATCAATTGGAGATCTTCTCGACCTAGTGTGTCACCATAACAAGTACATGTGTTCCATCAAATGCATCAACAAATCCATTAAAAAGCCCAATATATTGTACGTCTTGCAAACCGTCAAAGATAGCTCTAAGTTATTCGACTGTTCTTGGGCATATATACAATCGTTCCATTGCTTTAAGAACATCATGAAACTTTTGCCAAATTGTCTCTTCGGCATGTCCAAACCTTAGTGCAATATCAGATTGGGGCAAATCATCATCATATGTTCTTAGATAAGAATTCTCCGGAGGAAGTGCGGTTCGACCATTTTCTTTCGTGTCATCCGCTGGCACATCATCATCATATGGTTCTTGTTCGAGATCAAGTTAAACTCCAAGCTTGTGGGGTGAATAGCGAGAATCTTGCTCAAGATCGTGCAACACGGTTATATATTTTTTGTTGGTTTCACCGAATTCCTGTAAAATAAATATGATTTATGAGTATGGTATTCGCATGTTCACAAAAACTTATAAGTTAAGCATAATTAAAATTAAAATATTACCGCGAATCGCTCGTCTCACCATGACGTACGGTTATATCTCGATATGTCCTGATGATTCAACATGCGTACCAGTAAGTTTGGATAATCTGTTGTTGAAAAACCATAATTTTTTTCAAATAATTAAAATTTGCTTTTCATCTTGGGTTTCCATTTAACCAAATCACTAGTTAGTTCAACAAATTTTTCTTTAATCCGCTGTTTACCGACAGCTAATGGTACCGTAATCATATAGTTTTCTGCCTCTAATTCAACGACTACAAGCTCAATTTTTAGTTGTTCTAGGCGTCCATTTATACTAACCACATTTTAAAATTCTAAACAATCACAATCCTATTTTCAAAAATAATATATAGATAAAACTATTAAATGATATAAAAAATATATTAATAAACATACATTGCATTTTGTCCCGCTTGCACCTCTACTCGATGTCCTTTCACCAGCATTTTAACGACTCGATCGTCCTCTACCAACAGTTTTGCGACGACCTATACTACGTGTATTATTTAACCTACTAGTCATCTTCATAATATATCATAAAATTAATAAGATGTAAAACCATTAGTTAAACAATTAATACTTTAAAATTATATGAATGTTTCCATATTATAAAAATTATATTACTTAAAATATAAAGCACATAAAAGTATTCTAATCAAAACAGTTTTGTATTTCATTTTTTCTTGGCATCAAACATTCTTAATATATAAAAATATATATTACACCTACAAAATTAATAATTATATAAAACTACATTAAATTTTTATGATATATATAATCTGACTCATTCAAAATAAGTGCTAACAATAAAAACCAAATTTTCCTTAATTAGTGCTACAAAAATAAATTATAGAAATTAAATGTAACATAAATTTAAATTCATAACACATGTGATGGATAAGAAATTGAAAATTACCTTCAATATTGAGTTATGAAAATTATGGATTGAAATATTAGATTGAAAAAAATTAATAAAAAAAAATACTTCTCAAGATTATTTTTTGGAGGGATAGAAAGTTTGGAAATAATTTGATTGTTGTGGAAGTCAAAACTAGCACAATCGAGATTTGTCAAGGGTTTTATTAATTTTAGGGATACGATATGCAAGAATTCTCAAAGAACAACAGAAAAACTGCAACCAAAAATGGTGTTCTTGATATTATTGATGAAAAGAGTAGTTTCGATCGTACAAAGAATTGGATCGTGAAAAGAAAAGTGTTTGCTTGCTTTTGAATATCAGAGCTTTTTGTAGTCTGAAGTCCAGAGCTTTTTTTTGCCTGTCCTCTTTGTGAAGACCTTGGATAGCACTATATAGAGCTGGCGAATAATATCGTGGATAATATCGTGGATAAGGAAACGTTCCTATTTCTTCGGAGGCTTCTGGAAGATTTCCTGATTCGACTTGATCCCTGGAGATTCTTTCCTATCATTTCCGAGAATATCCGGAATGATCCTTCTTTTTCGGAAATGCTGTTATGATAATCCAGAGGTATTTATTCATCAAGTCTTTGCCTCGGGCGACAACATACGTTTCTCCTCGGGTGGCCTCGAAGACTTGGCCTCGGGTGACCTTGATGATTTTCACCTCGAGCAGTCTGGAGACTTTGCCTCGTGGAAATTGGTGTATTCGGCTCGGGGCAAGGTGCGACATACATCCCGAGCCGAGGCGCTGAGAGGGTACCTCGAGCTGACTGGGAGGGTACCCCGAGCTGACCAGGAGGGTATCTCCAACTGACTGGGAGGGTACCCCGAGCTGATTGGGAGGGTACCCCGAGCTGATTTGGAGGGTACCCCGAGCTGATTGGGAGGGTACTCCGAGCTGATTGGGAAGGTACCCTGAGGTGTTGAAGTTTGGCTCGGTTCCAAAGGATGGGTAAAATCCGACCCCAACAATTGTTTCATGATAAACTATGAAAACAAACTACCCCTATTTATAAGCAAAATACATTTCTCGTTTTCCTCCACTTGTTTCATGATAATTATCAAAATTTGTTTTATCACTTTTAAAAGTGTGCCAATTTATTTAGGTGATATATTTCCATTTGTTTTTTTTCAGTGGATGAATGATTTAAGCCGCTTTTTTCTTTTTGGAGAAATTTTTGTTTTTGCACTGTTTTTCTTCCCTATTAGTAAAAAAGTATATCTTCGAAGATTTTTTTGTTTTCTGATATTTTTTTTTTCAAGAAGGGCATCCTGTCAGATTTTTTTTTTTAAGAAGGGCATCCAGTCAGATTTTTTTTTCAAAAAGTATATCTTGGAAGATTTTTTTGTTCTCTAATTTATAAATGCAAATTATGTGGTGCATTTATGTGGAATAACGAGAGAAAACCACAGAAAAACCAAAACAACAGTATTTACTATGTGTTGTATGGGAATAAAGATGTTGCATAAACACATCTTATTATCTAAAAGTATGTTTACCCAATCATTTTGTTTTTTTTGGTATGTGTTTACTAAATCATTGTATTATGCCTTGTGTAATTATAATTTTTAGAAGACCCTATCTTTAGTGTAATTATAATTGGGATCATTTTTAAACAGTAGGTTAGTTAATGGAAAATTTGACAATGATTATCAAAATGCAGTCATCATAATTTCGTCGAAAATTCACGTCAAACTTACAACGAATTTTCTTGCGGTCGTTAATTAAACGAACTTCTTTGTTAAAAAAATTTCAATTCCTCCCTCGTTTTAATTAGATAAAAATCCCATTCGAGTGTTTTTTTTTTTAGTCATAAATTCTCACGTTTGTGTTATCTAGAAAGATATGATATCACATTTGTTGTACCTTGTCTTAAGTTATAAAGATTATGTCACATTTGTGTGATCTAAAAAAAAAGATGATCTCACATTTGTACTTTAAATTGTCTTAAGTTATGAGAGGGAAAGCTTTGACTGAATCATTTTTGAAAATATTAAGTAGAGAGATTAGTTTAATGTTATGTCAACGACTTTTCTCATTATAAGAGAGAAAGAGATAGGTAGAGAAGGAGAGTGTGAGAGAGAGACGAGAGCAAGTTCGAGAGATGGCTATTAACCCTGATTATCTTCGGTGCAAAGAAGAAAGGAATAACGAAAGCTTCTTCAAGGTGCTTCAGAGTCTTGATGTTTCTTCAGAAAACTTGGTAGTAACAATGTTTTGAACTCTTCTTCTTCTTCTTAATTTAGGCAATTTCTTGCTAATTTAGTTTGGAAAAGTTGAAACTTTTCCTTATATGACTATATATGATAATGGGTCTTGTGTAAAGGTTGAATCTTGAAAATTTTGAAATTTTAGGTTTTCTATAAAAATGGATCTTACCTTAAAGGTTGAAACATGTTAACTTAGGGTGCGAGTGGTAACATCGTATTTGGTTGTGCGGAAAAAGCGGTTTTATAGTGCGGTACGGTTCAACTGCGGTATGTGCGGGATAAATAGATTTGCGGGACAAGTGCGGTTAATACAAAATAAGCAGTACGGAATAAAGTTTGATTGGTGAAAAAATTATTTGCGGTACACAACCAAATATTTGAATGGTAAAAATACAACAAATGGTACGACATTACTGATTATATATATATATATTATAAATAAATATATTAATAAATTATAAATTAGTGTTTGTTTTGTTGTAATGAAGAAATATTTCATATATTTTGAACCTTAAATATCCAAATTGATCTAAAACAAAAAAAATTTTAACAGTTATTGCTAATCTTTTTAAAATTTCAATCATAAGAAAACACAACACAATAAAAAATAAAGTATTATTGGTCTAAACCTAATTGTTTTGGCATATCTCCCTTAAGTGTATTAATGCATGACCAATAAAATCTATTATGTTTCGGAAGTGAATATCGCTTCCACTTTTTTAAATTCATCGTAATCATCTTGGATCTGTATATAGTTGTTTCACTGGGAGGAGTTGAAATTTTGATTGGATGAGTTGAACATGTTTGTCTTCCAAACATATCTACATTTAATAAAATCCAATAATTACTCTATAATTTTTCATAAATAAATTTGATTAGCTATTAACAATTTTAAAGAATTATAATACATATATTACTTTTCAAAACTTTTATAAAAATAAGGTATTTTCTAAATTCCCAAAAGAGTTTTTTTTTTTTACATTAATAGGAGAAGATTGATATTGTTAGTATTCTTAACGTAATTATGAAAACAAATATAACATACCTTAAAAGTGAGAGGAGTGGTTTTGGCAACCAAAAAAAAAAAAAAGAAAGAGAAGAGTACTCAGAGTAACATTTATATGTATAATGGAAATGGAAAAGTAAAGAGAGAGGTTGATAGAGCATATTTGTGGGAGAAATAACATGTATATGTAGTTGTTTTTAATAATAAAAGAATAAAAAATAAAAAATGTTTTTGTCCAGTGCGGATTTGGTTGGACCGCAAGGTAAAAGGGGTATACTATTTTGAAAGGCGGTCCAAGCTTTTATCTGGGTCGAAAACCGCAACTTTTTTTTTTTTTTACAAAAACACT